AATTTCCTTATATAACCACCCTCTCACACCTCCAGGTAAAGGAAGGCTGTGAGAAAAAGTCAATAGAGACCAGAGTAATGAATAAACACTGTGAGTGGAATAACTCCAGATGCTCAGAGAGATGACAATGATCTCACTCTAATGAGCCGAGGTGAGCTCACCTACAGCATTAATGAAGGCCTGACAACTGGCAAAGGCCAGCTGATTTTCCTCACTGCTCACCGGCAGCATGTTTGAAGTCTCCATGCAAACAATACACCCACAGGACAGAGCGAGGCCCTCTACAGAGGGTAACCAGCAATTACTCGGTGGGCTTCTGTCACTTTGATCTCTGGGTCGTGACCTTTGCTTTCTTGTGATCTTCAAAGCCCAGATTGTAGATTAGCTGGAGAATGCTAGCTGGGTTATGTAAGCCACAAGTTTTACAGCTCCTCCTTGGCTGGGAAATGGTGGCAGCCCAGGACAGCCAACAGACTGCGGAGGGTCCCTCCCTCCTTCCCTTTGGCTGAGTGCTACAGACACTGGGCAGGCCTCAGGCTGCTTTCTGGGAGGGAACAAAGAAAGGGTGTCACGTTTTAAATAATTTAAAGTTGTAAGAAATACAGAGGGGCCTACTGAGGAGGCGGGAGGAAGGAGAGGCCAAGCAGAGATTGGAGTGGCAGGAGAGAATGAATGGCAAGGGGTTTAATGACAAAAGTAGAGCTTAGAGACCATGAGACCAAAGCTCTTATTTGACAAGCCAGGTCTAGCTCTAATGTACTGTTGACCTTCACTCTACTGTTTTGCCTGCAGGAACAAGAAGGAGAATTACAAAGAAAGACAAGAAAAAGACCATTCTGGGCACCCAAGTTTCCCATACTTGACTCACTCTTTGGCTAGTGTTGAAGTCCATGGGAGGCCTCGAGTGGTTTCTTAATATGATGGTGGCCTCCCAAGGCAAACTGCCTCACTGTTCTCTTCCCGCCCAAATCCTGAAGGCTGCTTCTTATCACATTCACCCTCATTTAACATTCATCCCAAAATAGCAGCACAATGTATACATACAGCAAAGCACAGGTGAGTTTAAGCTCCTATAATAACATGGCGATGGACATTTCTTAGCCATGAACTATGATGAATGGCAAAGAAAAAAATCCAGGCATGGTTCACTCCTGCCCCAGCAGGATCAGGGCGCAGCTCAACAACTTGGTAGTATGTTCATGCTCACATACAGATTTAATGAGCCCATTTTACTGTGGGGATGCGTGCCAAGAAAATCCAACGGTGTGCACAGGGGGTAAGGAAGGAAGGAGAAGGGATGACTTGGGGGAGGGGAGGAAGGAATCAGCAGAAAGTGAAGCATCTGTGAAGCCATTCCCAATAACTCCATAAATCTAGTCACTTCCCATTTCTGCTCCGGTGGTTGGCCACAATGTGACCTAAAAGTGGGCTGACCTCTCTGAAATCAACACCTCCCATAGAAATGAAACAGACATACTTGTTTTGATGTATGGCTGGGTGACATATTATAAATATTACATCACATAACCACAGTGGATGCCAATCAATAAGAAATTTTTTTTAGACAGCACTAAATGAGCCATGGGTTCTTGCTTCTGAATACACTCCTTTAAGGCTCCTACTATTGCTTAAATGATTAATAGAAGACATATTGTCAGAAAATGTAGTTAAAGTGAAAAACAGTAAACTGTAGAAATATCATTCATTTTTTAAGCAATTTTCTAGTGAAAATGTCACATAAATTTACATAGAAGCCCTACTATTAGGCTCTGGGTAACAGCTAGAAGGCAGGCAGACCTCATGCTTTGTGGAGGAAGGGCCAGGAAATATTTTACCAAGAGGGGGGAAAAGGTGGCTGCATTGCTTTGTAGAAACCCAAACACTACAGGAACTCTGGATTCAGAAGTCTCACTGTAAACCCTAAAATTTCTCAGGGGCAAATGAAGCTCAAATTCCAGGATGAACAAAGCAGAGCTGCTTACACCATCACATATACATTTATCTCACCCAAATCCAAGTGTGAGAGTGCTGGTCAGCCAGAAAAAAAAATTAAAAAATAAAATGAATAAAACATTTAGAATTGATGGAGAACAGGCCCACCATTCCATTCAACCATTATATGCTGTGCAGTGAATGCGTAACTGGATGGACACACATTTATTGTTCCTTCCAGTGTTCTTAGATCCCATTTCTCTCAGAGCGAGAGCATCTTGCCATTGTTGTGGGTGACTTATGGATTTTCTAGGATAATTTTGACCAGATGTGATTTTTGTTGTATGTGCCCTTTAGAATCCTGCTCCTCCAGCAACTTTGCCATGTGCACATGAACAAACAACCTTCCCAGACCCATCCCTCAACCCCAATGGACCTGGGGTAGTGAGGTCAGGCTTAGTAGGTACCATAGCCAGCCCATGAGATGAATCACTTCTCTAAAATCAAGCCCTCCCTGAAGCATCAGCAACCCAATGACCAGCACTCAGATTGACTCTCAAGGACAGCCCCTTGCTTGTTAACTTTGTTGACAACAAATGGATCTGATTCCAAATAGGCAGTAGGCATCGGAGGTGCCCAGAGGGCCATACATCTCTCTGTAAGCACTCAGCTTCTCAGACGAAAGAATAATGTTCAAGCTAGCTCCAGAGAACATTTATCTGGCCCCGATTCCATGGCCAGTGTTACTTTAGGTATTAACGAGTCTTCAAAGGGCGGGAAGACACAGTCTTACCTACTAGAAGCCATTCTCTGGATGTGGACATATATAAAGTAGTGAGAGAAACATACAAGATGGAATATATAAAATGGCATGAGATAGTAATGGAAAAACTGTAATGGCTTGGGAGAAGAGTGTCTCAGAGTCAACAGGAATTTTAAACACCACTCAGTCCAATAGTTAAGTGAACATCTGAGAATATTTAGAAGTACAGCCTTGGTGAAGAGTCACTGATCTAGACTATCTTCCCCATTTTAAAGCTGGACCACACATCAGATCTTCTGATCTGACCCTTACTTACATGGGTCTTAATATTTTTACCATAGTGAACCGTTACAATAAAAACAATAGTATTAGCTTTTCTTTTACTTTTGCAAACTTACAAGCCTTCTATTTGAGACTGAATAGAAGATGAGGGAAGTGAAGATTTTCATCACTCTACTTCTCTCATCTAGGGAAAAAAAAAAAGACAACAAAAATGTGCCTATGATTTGGTTTACATACAGCTCCATGAATGAATGAATGAACATGTGTGTCAATGTGTGTGCACACATAAAGATATATATATACATGCATGTACATATATATACATACATGTATACAACTTATTGGGGTATTTTAAAGAAGTAAACACAGAAATCTCAAGAAAAAAGTCAGAAAACAAATGAAAATTTCCTACACCGTGTTTGGTTTACTAAAAATGTTAACTGAATGAACTTTCTTGGACTAGCTTGACCCTTCCAAGACACATCTTATAAATTGCCACAAGAATATAAAATATGTTTTAAGAGACCCCTTTATATTTGAAACCAGGTTGTTAAATGCTTCAGAGTTGATAAGAGTGTTAAATAGACAAATTAAGTTCTAAGTGATTAAGCAACTTGCAGGGTTGATTTAGAAATGTATAACTTCACTTGCTGGATATTAATCATATTTCCTCTAACAAAATTCACATTCAAATCTACAGAATCACATCCAAATAAAGATCATCATGACAGAATAAGACTTAATACCTCTTTTCAGAGTAGGGTTAGAGTTTTATTCTGAGATGGCTTAAAAACAGTCTAAGACCACTACAAAATTAATCAAGAAATCCAGAAATTGAGATTAAATGTACAAAATGCTTCCCAATAAATATTACTGGATTCTGTTGTAGCTTTATGTGTCCATGTGCATATATTTTAAAAATACACAATATTCAATAGCCTTCAGTGTTTTTTTACAGGTTTACCTTTACACAACATCAACTCCCCTGACTGCATTCCTTCATGGGTCACCACAGATTTTTATAGGAGTCCCAAGAGAACAAGTTTCTTTCAAATCATTATCCTCTTTGCCCAATCCTTCTAAATTTATTATCTAGCAGCCTTACCTGCCCTGAATTTGCTTCCTTCCTCCTCCTCCTCCTCCCCTTTCCACATTGATTCAGGTAGGGTGTTCATGAGAGCAATCATAACAAAGAGAGAGGCTACACATATGAAAAGATCATCTAAAAATATTTACAAAAAAAAATCAAGAATGAGAGCACACAGAGTTCAAAATGAACAAAGAGAATAAAATAGGTAAGATCAAGGAGACTCCCTAAGAGGGGGCAGTTTGGATCTGGTATTTCAAAGTAGATGGTTTAGTAGCAGAGAGGAGAAAGAAAAGCATTTCTACTTAGAGCCCATCAAAGCACTCGGCTGGTGGACAGTGAAGCAGAGCTTTATGGAACCAAGTTATGGGACTTCTGGGACTTCCTCTGGGATCCTACATAAGCTCCTTACCTTTAGTGGGAAATGCTCCTTCTGTCTAAAAAATGACTTGGAGGCTGACCAGAGGAAAATCTTACAACACAGAGCAGAAGTAAGCAAAATACAGCCCATGTGTCAAATCTGGCCTGCCTCTTGTCTTTGTAAGTAAAGTTTTATTGAAGCATAGCTATGCCTATTCATTTACAAGTTGTTTATGGCTATTTCTTCACTATAACAGCAGAGCTGAATAGTTGTGACATAGACCACATGATCTTCAAAGCCTAAAAATATTTATGACCCTGTTTACAAAAAAAAAAAAAAAAAAAAAGTTTGTCAACCCCTGACCTAGACCATCTGGCGACTTTTCATGTTTTTTTGGCTCCTATGACCCTGATGAATGGAGACAATGGCTATACATTACCAAAAGGTTAAAGTTTAGTGTTATCATGAGAAGTCCAGTAATATTTACCAAATATTTACTATATACCCCATAATATCACCCCCCCAAAGGTGCCATTTTTCCCTTTCTCACCAGGATCAAACCCCTAGATACTCACCTGTATCTTTTGTAGTCCTCCTCATCCTTTTCCAGGCTAATCAGCTCATTGGGACATGCCACATTACCCAGCAGGCTGAGGTACTCCAAAGCTGGTGTCACTTCTGCCAGGTGATCAAGCAGACTCTCCAAGTCAGTGATGTGACAATGGCTAAGGATTTGGGTCCAGGAAGACAAATGCCCTCGTAAGGAACATAGACTATAACTGACAGGCATAGCACAACACCTGACAAGTCCAGTCTGCTCCCAGGAGGTGACATGGGTGATGGCTGAAATCAACTCTAGCTGTGAGGTATCTTGCATGGCTGGTTTTTCACTCCTGCTGGGGACACAGCCCAACTTTTCTCTGGGCAGGTAAGGCCAAGTTCAGATCACTTGAGAGGGAATGAATGAACTTGAGTGTTTTATCACACTTTTCCTTCATCTCTATTTGTTTAGAAAATGATGAAGGGTATATTCCATGCGGTAAAGTATTTTGCTATGTGCAAAACTATAAAACTTTTTTTTTCTAGTAATGAAAGCAAGAGCTATTTCCAAAGGCCTCATTAAAAATATATTCCCATTTTCTCCTTTAGAGGGTAATTTATCATTAAAACATATAGGAATAGCATGGATGCAAGTAGGGACTGCCATCCTCTTATGATCTGAGAACTTGGGGTGGAACTATGTGTTGCTCAGTAGCCTCACTAGTGGCAATACACAATGAATTGGGGGAAAAGGAGAATAAAACTAGGAGAAGACAAATGGAGTAAGTTAAGATACATTTAGTCAAACCAGGCAGGTCAAAATGTATTTGAGAGTAAGAATCTGTTGTGAGACTAATAGTCTATGAAGGAAAGAATGAAGAGAAAATACCAATAAAGGGGATGCTGGGAAGAGCATGCCATGATCCATTCGCTCAATGGGATCCACTGTTCAGTCAAGGCAAACATCAAGACCTCCAAACCAAATTAAGTCAAGAATCATAGATTCAGGCAATCACAGGTACTGGTAATGAAAACCTAATTGTTACATTTGATATACATGGACCTCTGGCTTGACCTAGATGCAGATGAGCCTTCCCCTAGGCAAGGTGATAACTAGACAAGCTATAAACAGAGGCCATGACTACCAGAAACTTAAAGAAAAAGGTAGAGCTCTTATCAGCAGATAGAATGGGGTCTTTGGCAGGGAGTGATGGCAGAGCAAACAGGGGCTAATATATAAGGATGAATGAGGCGTACAAGAGTGAAAGACTCAGGATTCAGTGTCCAGGAGTGAGGTTCACTTGGCCTACGAGAGAAAAAATAAAAGCAAAGAAAAGGGATGCCCTTACTCTATGAGGATGTTCTCTAACCATAAGATGTTGCCCCAATTTCCTCCTATTTCATTTCAACTTGTCAGTTGAACACCAAATCCAAACAATTTCAGAATCCATTCTCTGATGTATCTGCCAAGGGGTCACCAAGAGGTAGTTCATTCTATGATGACAAGCATAAAAAAGAGTTTTTCTTTCCCCTGGGACTGAACCTTCCTCAAATTCCTTCCACTGACTCAATTTAATGGCTTGGGGTCTCAAAGAATAAGGCAGTCTCCTCTTCACATGATGAGCCTCCAGGTAGTTGAAGTTCACATGTCTTCTTTATATCTTGTATTCTCCAAACTAAGTTCTTTCAAGCACTCTTTATACACAAACTCTTTGAACGTCATGTGCAAGAATAAGCGCTAAACCCTGAGAGCGAGACAGAGACAAGGAGAGGGACAGCACAAGCAAAAGAGGGAAACCCTAGGGCAAGAGGGTCAGAGCAGCTTTCCACCATTTGCCAACACCATCCCCATTTCCTAAACAAGGCAAGACAATGGACTTTGAAGTTAGTCCTTTAGATCTTGAACAAATAATGTCCAGGAATAACCACAATGGACCACTGGAGTGAAGACAAAAGACGCAGGAGCATGTGGAAAAGACAAGAGAGGAGGTTCTAAAGGGAGGTAAGGTTAGAAGGACACATGGGTAAGTGGCCAGAAGTCAAAACATTACAGTATTTCATCTCTGAAGACAAAACATACTTACTACTTTCTAAATTACAGTTCAATCGTCAAACTCTTTAAGAAAATCATTTAAATAAAACTAATTAAAATGACAATGAACAATTTCAGGGAAAACAGGCTTTTCCAACAGGTTCTAACTTTGTATGCATCTCAGTCATTGCTACATTAGAAAAAAAGGAAGATATTAGTGCTTCCCTTTGACCCTATCAAAGGCATCTCATGGGGCCCCATGCTTTGGAGTAACTTTCTCAAAATGTTTTAAGTCTCTGTCCAGTATCCAGGAATCACCAGGGCCAAAATGTCATTCACATAGGGTACCCTATGTCTGGACTTGGACCTGCATTGGCCCTCAGTCCTGGTTTCTGCCCTTCAGGGTTTGCTCCAACGCTTTACCCTTTACAGGGGATCCATCAGATGTTCTAAGGAGCAGTAAGACTCATGCCTATTAGGCTGCCCTGAAGCCTCAAGGCCAGGCCCTAGTGCCAAGGGGACAGCCAGGCAAGCTGATCACTCACTCCCACTGGTCAGCACACTATTTCTTTTGTGGGACTGTAAGAGAGTGAACTGCCAAAATGGTGGTGACATACTGATTCAGGGTGATTCAAATTATTTATGTAAATAATGGCCCTAAAGAACCTAGGGGAAGCCCTTTCCACTATGGCTTAAGAAGTCTAACCAAAACCTACTTCTCTTATAGGGCCCAACTTCTTAAACCTTGGATATTTTTCATCTACTGTATGAAGGTAGAAATGTGAAAGAACTAAAACTGGGCAAGATTTTTAAGTTGAGGAAATATTGGGCAATTGAGCTGGACTGAAATCCCAGTCATTTCTCAACATTAAGTGAGCAGTGATAGGAAGTTTAGCATGCAACTGTCCAGGGAAACAAGCTTCATGTGTAAACTTACCACACAGCTAATTAAGCTTGTATGTGAGAGTTCTTGCTTACACAGGTCCCTTGCAGGGATAAGAGAATCACATGGTCATATATTTTTGTAAAATTTGCAGAAGTAGGTTATTTAAACGGCAGTCAGTTAAGATCACTGTCTCTCTCCACTGAAGTATACACAGTGTAAAATTACATAATAAAGTTATAAAATAAGTTGCAGAAAAAAGAGGAAAGATGTTTTTATATAGGTTTGTCTCATATTTAAAAATTGTTACTTTTCTGAATTTTTATGTTTGTGGTATTTGTCAACTGAAAAAATTTTTAATTTGCTTTGATATGTTTTTATTCCAAAAAGACATTCACCTTCAAGCCTAATTTTGAATTCATGACTATGTAGTCTTTTCCTTTAAGAGGGAATTAACATAAGTTTCACACTCTATAAAATCTGGATCTGCCCCTAAGCAGGAGGTTGTGGAGATGTGGATTCGTTCAAATGTCTTGGTAATGGGAATTTCTTGGGCAAAGTGTCTACAGGCTTCAAGAAGCTTCAGCCATCATGCACCAATGAATCCAAAGAATGAAGCCTGCCTCATTTAGGGTATTTTGTGTGGCAGAAGCTACCCCATGTCTTTTTAAGCCTTTCAAGTACCTGCTAAATGATCATCTGGGCTAAGACACGTGGTCTCCCCCAAATGCACACTAGTCAAGAATCACTAGCACCTACTCTGTGGATGCTCTGGACCAGAACTTCATCATTATGTTGATACCACCACTGGGGGATAAAAGACGAGAAGGAGTTTTTATTTGTTTCTTGGTCTCCTGGGTCAGCAAAAACGAACACAACCCTGGCTTGGAGCTCCAAGATAGAACTTGTCACATTCCTTTTTATTCCAGTTGCATGGAAAATTAACCAAAGGCAACCAGCAGAGGGAACTTGGTATCCCTGACTTACTAACACCAGGGTAATGGATAATTTCAGGGATTCTTCTCAGGGTGATATTCCCCCCACTCACCCACCTCCATTTTTTAATAGGAAGCTTTATGGCACAGTTTCAACTTTCTTCAACTGAATTCTAGCACACGCCTGGTTTCCCTCCTCAAGTCCTCTCTAGAGCACTGGTCATTTGGGTTTTCTTCAGGGTTGTCTACAGAAAATTGTTATTGCAGAGTCCAGCTGTCACAGGTATGCTTGCCAAGGGAGACTTTTTGCAGAGGGTCCAAAATTCAAAGCAACATCTTGCCTTGAAAGCTTAAAGGATGAAGGAGGAGGGGAGTCTTCTGGTGTCATGTCCAGTTACACCGGTCTGAAGCTGTTTCTGAGGTAAAAATGGCAAGAACCCTCCTCCCTCTGTGGTCAAGCACATGTCAAAAGGCAGCACCTATAAGAACCAGAGGATGTCAACCAGGGCTTATCCTAATATAGGATTTCTGAATGCTAACTACACATTCTATACACAATATAGTCACATTTGGATTCATATACATGTCAGCAATATCACATCCAAAGAATAATTAAGGAAGTAGGGTTCAAAGATCACATAGTAAATGACTGAGTCTAGATTTTAACCTGTTCCAAAGCAATTACATTTCTAAGAGACAAGTAACTCACAATTTCCTAACATGGAAAGGAACATTACTGAAAAATGAGAAGTCCCACATACTTTCGTGGGAGACCCCAGGTACTGTCATCCATCTAGAGTTTCTTCCACTTTGGGCTTATTCATGTAAAGCAATGAGACTTCCTCTATCATTAAAAGGTATCAAGAAGCTGTAAAGTCTTTGGGCTATAACAAAGTGATTTCCCATATATATATTATGGCATTTCAATCTGTCAACAATACTCTGAAGTGTCTAACACCCATTTTACAGATAAAGGAACTGAGGCTTCAGACCAGGTGCAAAGACTTCCCTGAGCAAAACAGTAAATTGCTGTGGAAATCTAGTCTGGCCTTCTGGTTCATCTCAATGGTCTCCTCACCACAGCCTAGCTGTACAACATGTCATACTATTTGCCCTTCCTGTTGGTACTATAATTCATACTGTCTCTTCACATGTGTGCTGAAGCAAACAGGGAGACATTAAATGAAGAAATTAAGTGTGCTGTAAAATGAAGTCAGCTTATCTCCCTTCCCCTACCCTCCCCAAAAGGGAGAATGGTGGAGAATCATTTGATTGTGCAAAGTATCTATATTTTCCAGACATCTCGATTGTTCCCTTTTGGGGTT